TCCTAAAGAAATGTGCTCCGGAGATGGCTCCAGTTCTCTTCAAACTCTACAACTATTCTTAGAAGTCCTCCACTGTAGTTCCTCTTTTTAAGAACTCTGGAGAACCTTCTGATCTCTATAACTATTGCATCATTACTCTCATACCACTTTTTGGCAAAGTGTTCAAGGCTATAATCAAGTGGTTATGCATTTTACCTCTCATGACCTCCTCTCCAACAAACAATATGGCTTCCATTTTGCCTGGTCTACCACTGACATGCTTACAGCCATCGTTGAATATGTATATCAAGCTCTTGATAATAACGATGAAGCTCAAGCTGTGCCTCGAGATATTTCAAATATCACAGTGTTTCACGGGGTTTGGCATGCTGGTCTTCTATGACAGCTTCAGGGCTACAGTGTTACAGGCCAATTGTTTGATTTTGTCCAAGCATTCCTATCAAATCGTGAAATGAAGGTCGTTCTGAATGGGCTCACTTCCAGATTTTTTCACACAAATGCATGGGTCCTATGCTGTTTCTGATCTTCTTCAATGATCTTACTGATGTCATCAGTTCCCAAGTAGGCATTTGTGCAGATGCCACTACCATTTACTCCTGTCTCAATAGCAAATCTGTCAGAGCTGATAAATTTAACCTGGCTGTTGCTCTTGAAAAGGAGCTCCAATCAGTGGTTAATTGGGGAAGGAAATGGCTTGTAAATTTTAATGCCTCCAAAACTAAACTGCTCTCAATTAACCACCATAATTGACTTCCCTGCTCATCATCTGCATGGCTGATGCTAGACTGAATGAAATGGAAATATCTCTCTCAAAAAAAAAAAGATTTGCAACAGAATGACAAAGATGAAGGCGATAAAGCTCATCTCAAGACTAATTTGAACCAAGATGGTCACTTAATTGGCAAAAGTTGCTGAGTGCTTCACATGAAAGGCTTGAACAAATGAGACTGCAATCTAAGAAATGTATGTGTAAAGGAACTGATTAATTAAATGGTTCATTTTGCACAGGAACTAATTTTGTCTAAATGCAGAGAAATATGACCTGGCATCTTGATTTCCCACCATTGTAATGTAGCTTCCTTGTGCCTTTTCTATAAATATTTTCATGATAATTGTTCTGATGAAGAACTTTCCTCTTTAGCACTTAGATTTTATGAATTTAAGTATACTACTAGATTGGCAGCAAGGTCTCATCATCTTACAGTTGAAATTAATAGATATAACTGTAAGTTCTATGCTAACAGTTTCTTCTTTCGTAATTTGCTTATGAAACTCTCTCCCAACTTCTTATTTTCCACTCATCTTTGATCTTCAAAAATTTAAATGCAATGTCAATTACTATCTCCTGTTTTCTTAATTCCTGTTTTTTATTGTTCTCTACCCACAATAATGTTTTCGTTTTCTCATATTCTCTCACACTCCCTTGCATCTTAGTGGCTTTATTTCCTTGGTTGGGGTGAAATGATTAAAAAAATGTAACTTTTGTAAAGCTGGGTATAAAAATAGTATATTTTATAAAAGGCTTTTTAAGGAAAAGTGATAAAAAATAATATTTTTCTTTCATCGAGAGAATTAAACGCATGGAAAAAATCCATTTATCCATCACTAAGGAAATTTCATTTTGTTCTTCAAGAGTGATGATAAAAGCTAGAAGTGATAATATTCCAAAAGTTCACCATAAAAATAAGACTATTTCTAGTTATTTTCCAAAATTAAAGAAAACCTTTTATAAAAAGCAGAAAGATTAATACATAGCAATAAAAATAATTTTTTAAAGTTTAAGTAAAAAAAAAAAGAAAAAGAAAAAAGTGCAGGGGGAAAAAAAGTAAAAATATTTAGCAAAGCACTTTGGAAAAAATGTATCTGTATTTTTCTCCTTTTTTTTTGTATTTGAGATTCTTACTGAAAAGTCTTACTAAAAGATTAGATTTTTTTTCAATAACCAAACACTGATGTGACAGACATCTATCATATAAACTGTTAAACTGAAAGTCCATTTTAAAAAGGAAAACTTGCCTTTATGAATAATCACAAAAATACATGTGATTAATAATCAGTATCTTACTGAATATTGGTAAAAGTCTATTTTATAAATATTTAATATTTTAAAAAAATATCTCAAATGAATGAAAAGTGAATGAAATCCATTCTGACAGCTACAAAGAATAACACATGTTAAAATATTTTGTATCAGCATTTTTTTTTAATCTATCACATTAAGTCTTTAAGCCATATTATCTGCTTCATTGAAAATTGACTGGGTACCACAAGAAAGTCTTGACCTTACCTTCTGCCTGATAAGCTTACATGAATCGTATTACATCTCACCTGTTATTTCTTTAAGTTAGTTAAGTTACCTTTTTTTTTATTTTTAAAATGGCTTCTTGCCTTTCGTTGTACTGATCTTCTTGACTTAGAAGTGACTAGAGCTACTTAACAAGTCTTCTCTCTCTCACTTTCAACGCAGAAATTTTCGAGTTATTTTTATTTGCATCCATCAAGTTTGGGATTAGGAAATCCAGTCAGTAATCTGTTTGGCGTGCTTATTTTGTTTGACCTATAAATAGTAACACAAACAACCAGCAATGAAACGTTAAGATAAAGTGAGGAACTAATACTTGAAGAGTCAAGATTACCTCCCCTTGATTGAGTCTCCCAAATGGAATATGGCTGGCTATATCTGGGAAGTTTTTTTAACAGAGGACAGAATGAGTGACAGTGAAATCTGAAGGCATATTGGGATAGCCAAGGAAGCATTCCAAAAGCTAAGCAGAGTACTAAGAAATAGAAAAGAAATTGCTAGAAACAAGGAAAAGAGTACTAAATTTCTATGTGATATCTGTCTTCCCTAATGCCAGTGAATGCTGGACAATCACCTCAAAGATGAAGAAAAGACTTGAAGTAACAAAAATATGGTTCTGCAGAAGTATGCTGAGGATACTGAACATGTGAGTAACAATAAAGTTTTGGAGAAAATGGAAACAAAAAGCAAACTAATACAGGAAGAGACAATTGAGGTTTCTAGGGAATATAATGATGAAGGGGGCTTAGAAAATCTGATACTCACTGGATTGATAGAGGGAAAGAAGGACAGAGGAAAACAATTTATAACATACTTAATGAGCTAGAGCAAATGGATGGCAGAACAGAGCTTAGGAGAAATAGGAGAAAGGCAAAATTTATTAAGAGCTATAAGGGACAGGAAGTTGTGGAGAGCCATGATCGCCTACGTCTTGAAGGAACACGGCACATAAAGAAGAAGAATATCAATGACCTACCAATTATCAAAAGGATTAGTGATGCCGTTCAAAACAAAATGATAAAATGATCACCTAGAAATGATGATAATTTAAAATCAAAGCAAATTTCTGTCTTTCAAAAAATGTTAAGTCAAGGAAAAAGTGATAACTGATAGAGTTGTATCATTTAAGTGAATCCAAGAATAAAGTTAAAAATCATATTGGAAAAAATAACGGGATCTTTGAAAGACTCCATATTGTCTGGATTAGTCTCCCAGAGAAGCTCAAATTATATCTCTATGGTTTTCTCAATTACTTTATATGAATGTGAAACATGTAAATCCACCACAGAAGTTATCCAACTCTTGCATGTGTTCTGTTTAAGATGTCTTTTTGAAATCCTAAAGGTGTCTTGGAGAGATAAAATCAGGAATAAGATGCACAAATTCTAGTGCAATTTTAGTGTAATGATGGTGCATACTGTTCACCAGCTATATCCTGCGATTATCTGACAATTGGCCAGCCAAAGCTGATTTAAACTATATATGTCAAGGCTGCAAAAGAGCAAAGTCATCCTAAAATTGACATGGCGCATTACAGTTAAAGAAGAACAGAAAAAACACCAACCGATTCCAGGTGCTACAATTTGCCCAAGATTAATTTAAGTGGAGAAAAATTGTAGCCTTTTGCTGTATGACAGCTGGAGGATCAAGGTAGCTAGCAAGATAAGTTAGCATGCCATAATTTTTGGCTAATCAAATCTTGGTGCATAAATAATACATTTTTTAACAAACCGGTTTTCAATGTTCCTAGATTCTTATAGAATCTAGTTTAAAACCATGAAATGGACTCTCAACAATCCTATGTCAGTCCTTTTCTCACTGAACTCAATACTATCAGAAAACAACAGATTCTATTTCAAAAGAGTTAAGCATTAGGCACAGATTCTTTATTCTAATCCAATAGTAAATAAACAGAATAATGATAGAAACCAAAATGTGGCTTGAAAGAGACCTGTAGCTCTTAAACAGTCAATGTGTGGCTCATGGAAATATATTGGCTTGGCCCATTTTCTCTATTTTTTTTTTATTTTAATGCTCTCCATTCAGGATGTTTGTAATCATGATCATCTAAAGATCCTTCATTATTATTTGTGAATAGCAATACACTTTGAAGAAAAATAGAGGTTTCTTATTGTTATGAAGTGTGATCTCATATTTTATCAGTCCACAAGTAGTTGGTTATCACGCATGCTGAGAGCTGTCCTACCCTTATTTCTTGGCATTTATATAGTCTGTGTCTTAGCTATACTAATTAAGCAGTCATTTACCAATCTTCACACCTATTGCCCTCACAACTTTTGGCTTTGCAATCCCAAACTAGAAAAGCTCAATCTGCTATTTAACCCATAGTTTAGAGAAAAAGAGACAGATTTACGCCTTTCCTAAGGGACTTAGCACAAAAGTGAATGCAACATACTAACATAGATTTGATTGAGTGATTTTTAACTTATTGACATTTTTGCAGGCTATTTAAAGCCAGAAAATATTTTTAGATTGTAAGAATTTTTTGAGTTAATAATGATTTTTACTGATACAAATTCTACTAATTAAGCAATAGCTGGGAGGCGAAGAAGTGGATTCATACCTTTTCCAAGAGTATTTGTGCATAAGTGTATATAATGAACCCAATAGAATTGGAACTTGGCTCTTCGATTTCCAGTTCAGAGCTGTAATCTGTTACACCACCTGCACATCCAAGCTTACGGCACCTGGTATTCCCAAGCAGTCACTGATCTAGGTACTGACTAGGCTTGATGTCGTTTAATTTTGGTGATCATATGAGAACTGGTGTATTAATGTGATATGGCTGAAAGGTTAACTAACCTGGAATTTGAACTCTATCTGCCAATTCCATGAGTTAAGGTAAAGAAAACATATCAAATATTATAATTATTTATCAAGAATGAACTATGATGCCATCCAAAGCCAGACAGCTCTTGAGAAGAGATGGATTGATGCCTTTCCCAAGGGCATTAGTGCAAAAGTGAATAATTATTTCCCAAGCATGAAGTTTGACCTCATTAGATTAAAAGTTGTTAATGTTCGTGGGAAGTAAAAAATATTTATGACTTTAAATCCTAATTTGAATGCTTCATTTAAGTCAGGCAGTGTGTGTCAGTACTGATGGAAGGAAGAGGAATTAAAGAAATTTTAGATCATCAAGTATTACAGAGAAAAGCTTTTATATATCTGTTATACATACTGTTAATGGTTCTTGCATCAAGCAAATTTGGTCAACTCTGTTAGACATAATTATCCATAAGGAAGAGGTTTACAGGTGTCTGCTATATTCTGTTCATTGTGAAGCTTTCAGGAAATGTCTAACAGAAGCATTTATATGAATCCCAGACACATCTTGCTCTCACTTCTATAAATGTCACATCCGGTGCCTTTTTTTTTTTTTTTTTACAAAATATCATGGACTTACAACTGCTAGTCTGGAACTCAAATAAATAAGTATATATTTTCTATATTGCCTGATCCAAGGATTACAGATTACGGTCAAATTATACTGAAACACTGATTCTTGTTTGATTACTGAAGGTAAACAATTTTAAGCCTGCTCAGTACTTAGATTCCTTGCAAAAACTTATACAAAACCAGTTGGTCATGAGGCTAGCAATTTCATCTTGTAATACCTTACATGCAATGCCTAATATTGTTGACAATTGTTGTCCCATACTACTCAGTGAAGTCTACAGGACAAAAGGAGGAGGAATTGGCAACAGAGACATGTCTTCTTTCAGGCAATTTTTTTTTATATTAAATGTAAATTTTTTTCATTTGCTTACTTTCTCTATGTACTTTTAGTCTTTTAGTATTTATGGTACTGTCTATCAATATCACAAGCACTGGAGTCCTGCAACAAAAGTAATAAAAAGTGTAATAAAGTTTAATAGGAGTAGATAGGTTAGCCTATCATCTGGTTCACAATCCTCCTCAGTCTTTTGAACAGGAATAGAAGTTTATCCCTTGTTTCTCGTTTAGAATTGAATTTCCAGTTCTTTCTAAAGTCTTTTTCATTCTCTTTCACTCTCAGTAGTTCTTTGCATCTTAGTGGCATTATTGCCTTGCTTGTTGCGAATTGATTAAAAAAATGACTTGTCTGTTCTGGGAAGGTGATATGGTGAAGTAAACATGCTCGTCTCTGATTAGCAGAGTACAGACACATCATAGAATAAATACATAGATTCCTTAAAAAGGACCCTCATCTCTTGTGAAACTGACTATTATCAATGGACAGCAGAACTAGTTGGGCATGGGATTAGCAATTTCCTTGTAAAAACCTTAATTGCTATGGAAACCAAAGCAGCAATGCCTACTGCTGTTGAGGGCTGTTGCCCCCATAATACACAGTGGTCTACAGGAGAAAATGTGGGATTAAATTCACAAGTTCAAGGGAAACCTGATAGATCTGCATGCTCCACTGAGTTGGTAGATATTTTTGCATGATATAACTTCAGGATTGAACTCCTGACTTCCAAGGAAGCACATGACCTCTAACAGCACTAAGGCGATGTCAGACACTAAAGCAATGATATATTTGCAGCAGTAAATCTAATAGCTATTCTTGCCTAATGCAGATGGGATATAGCAAAAGAATGAGTTAAATGTATAAACCTCATGCATCATGCATATGTGCAGGTGGAGACAAAAACCATTCTTTTCCCTAAGGACTCCTCTTTGGGAGATGCTTCAGGCATCAGGGATTAAGATTAATTCTACCTCCTTAAGTAGAAATAAGAGATGCTTCCTGGAGTGACAGCCACATGGAATTAGATATTTCATTTTTTTTTTATTATTCTTGACCAAAAGGATGGAATCAGAAGCAGTAGATTCTGTGAAGTGCTGGTATCTTCTCTTTCTTCTTGCTTTATACAAATCCATAAAATAATATCAAATTTTGTCAGTAGCTACTCCTTTCCTATAAACAAAGCAACTCAGCACTTATCTCTCCCTATCTAAAAAAAGCCTTAGCAATTGACTTTTTTTTGGGAAAGGTCAATTCTACCAATTCAATTGGTCAACTTGTTGACTGATCTTTTGATAAATGAAACTAATGCAGTGTGGCAAGACTTAAGAGGGTGGCATACCCCAGAGATTCTAAATGTATATTGTAAAATTGCATAGACTTGGTTGATTGGCTGATTTTTGGAAACTTCATGATCAATATGGCTAAGTGCTTTGGGAGAAAAAATTAGATAATATGCCTATTTAAAAAAAAATCAAATTTGACCTTTGATGAACCAAACTTTATATATACAGGGTGCGATGGATAAATTGTCACCATTTTATATTTTTAATTTTGCACATATTCATTGTTTTGGATTTTATCAACTGCACAGTATAGAAGTGTCAGTTGGGCACTATCTGTGAGAAAAAAGCACCATGGCACAATTCCCTCTGTCAGAAATTAGGAAACAGCATGCTGTACTGCTTGGCATTCATGCCAGAAGCTCTAATATGAACATTTCAGAGTGTTTGGGTGTCGATCTGAGGACAGTGCAAGGGAATTGGAAAGAGTTGCATGATATATCCAGTCAACATCCTAGTGTTTGGAGTGATCACTAGTGACAGCAACATTATGCCTCCATTCATCTTCTCACGTGGCCTCAGACTCAACATGGAGACCTACGTCAAGTGCATTGAGTAAGTAGTGCTGCCCTGGGTCAAGAGAGTGGCTGCTGGAAGACCCCAAATTGGGCAACAGAACTCTGCACTTTGTCATACAAGCAGGAGAACACAGTCATGGCTGTCAGACAATTTCTGTGACCACATTACCCCTTACATTTGGCCACCTAACCCTCCAGACTACAACCCCTTTGATTACTCTGTGTGGGGTGCATTTGAGTGAGAGACCAACAAAACTTCTTGTAACACCAAAGATAAACTGAAGGCAAGGATTATGACAGCATTCCCCAACTTAAACAAGGAGACCATCCAGAAGAGATGCAGGAGATTCCAAAGTTATCTGGAGGCTGTGGTTGAAGCCAATGGCGATTTTATTGAATAAATTTACTCTTCAGTATTTCAAGATATTTTTGTGCAATTTTGGTAAATATATCTGTTAAAATAAGATGTCAGTGTTATTTTCATTTTTGCATCATTTAGACTACAATTTATCCATCACACCCTGTATATCTTTATTAAAATGCTGCAGATATTATGTTCTTTCTATTTAAGTGAAAATGAAAGAATTTTAATTTACTTTACAGAATAAAAAAGTATTGTTTTATTCCCATATTTCCTGCTATTTATTTATACTAATGTTCACTCTATACAAGGCCCAAAAGCCACTCATGGTAGAGGGTTACTGTGTGGTGTTGTATAAGCCTGACAAAGAGCAAGAAATGAAGTCCGTGGGGTTATGCAGATAGATAACAGTTAACCCTAGACTTGAAGAGGTCAAGATTGTAGAGATTGAGAAAACATCCTGACAGGAGTCTTTTCCACAAAGCAGCAGTTATTGAGAAGAAGCAGTTCAAATGATACTTACTTCTTACTGTAGGAATAGGAAGAGAATGAAGATAATTCACCCTTTTGACATGGTGGGTCCCAGTTATCATCATAAGGTATATTTTTCAAGATAGTCGTCACAATCAATCAGCTTTATGCTACTGAGTATATTCATATAAAATAATGCACCTTCACATTATTCTGCAAAACTGAATAATGTCCACCTTGACAAAAAAAAGGTTTCAAAGACACCAAGTTAATGGAGTGCTTTACAGCCTCTACAGATATTAATCCAATATAAAACTCATAGTCTATCATTAAAAGAGATGTGACAATGGAAAAACAATATTCAAGTAGAAAAGTTCCCTTGGAAACATTAAAAACTAATGTGGAGTTTGAAGCACAAGGAAAGTAAAATCACTGATTGAAAGATGGCTGAAGGTTATAGAATGTCAAAGAGTCCATATTAAGAATTTATTTAGGTATAGCAATTTTCCAAGTGTAGCTTAGATGTGGCACAAGGCCGAAAGTATGGGGCACCTAGTGAGGATCGAACTCACAACTCAGTTGTAATTGTTCTAGTGAGACAAGCTTGCTAACCATTACACCGCCTCGAGGTGCCCAAATTTATTTAGGTATATGTGGTATTTTGTAAAAGAAACATGTTTCTATAGCCTATATCTTCTGGATTTATTGATAAATTTGTGTTGCATTGACTTAGTTTGCCTAATGGTAATATGAACCATTTTTTTTATAAGAAAAGATTTGGCATTCATTGACCAAATAGCCAGTGACATTGTCAGTTGAAATTTATAAAATTTTTCTCTCAAAATATTTTTCAGGAAAAAAATTTCTCTAGTCCAGTAACAGTCATCACTCTTTCAAATACTGATGGGATTTTCCTTTCTAACCTTTTGTTTGAAGTAGTGTGGAATGTCAGCATCTTGATTATACTATTATTCTCTCTTCGAGTTACATGTGCCATCCATTTTAGCTGTTGTTGAAAGTCTTCAAACATTGTACTTTTTGTCATATGGTAAAATTCATTATAATTATAAAACCTGACGTTTCTCTAAATAAATTATTATTAATATTTTAATAATGATAGATATTATAAGCTGAAACTCATACACTATATAGATCTCATAAATAGTATATACCCTGAAAATTCTATCAAAATTGGTTGGTTAATACCAATTTTATGAAACCATTGAAATGAACAATACTATTTTTAGTATTTGGTACGTGGCAAAATTATTTTTTTCCCCTTGTTTTAAAAATCATTTCACCCCAAGCAAGGCATTAAATCCACTAAAACTCAAGGAGTTACTTAGTGTGAAAAAATAAGAAA